TGCTTCTCACTGGTGCCCCAACACTCAGCCATGGGTAACACGCATCTACCGAGACAAGCAAATGGAAATAGAACAGAGCAGCACAGTGTTGTAATGTTAGCTCGCCATATATGTGACCTGGCCTCGAGCCAAAGGCGGGCTTGTAGACTTGCAATAGTGTGTGCTTGAATTGATGAGGCTAGCAATACCGAGCAGCCACTCCGAAGAGAAGACAGAAAATCAGAAGCCACTCTTGTTTCCACCAAATCGGACTTCATCACGCTGGATGGATATTTATTTAATATGGTTTTATATATCATGGCAGGATGTTGCAGCTCAGAATGTGAAAATTAGCACGTGGAACTATGAGGTCACTCTTGTTTAAGATGATATGTCATGGCGTGTAGTCAACAGCACTGCAGTCTCTTCACTGATAAAAAGTTAAATAATTTTCGAGCCCAGAGAGAAGTCCAACAGGTGTTTCCTATTACTCTTTGCTGTCTAGGCTGCAAAGCTTATCAGCATGTAATCAACGGGGTAGACAAATCTGAAAAATTGAAAGGGTTAATCGTGGGCACCGCATTCGCTTCAAGCGAATACCATTCTCATCTTCTTTTAGCCACCATCCTTCATACCTCGCGAAATCGGTCTTATGCATCCGTTATCACACCCGCACCCAAGTGTGCTGACAGTTGCAGAGAGGCAAGAGTGTGTCACACAACAGTTACTTGTCACAGCAAATTCATTTTCACATTTGACTAATAATTGATCTTTCGTTGACTTTGAATAAGTGCTAGACCATGCGCCCTATGCAGACGACATTGTGGAGACTCAGCAATGTTGCCCAGTTCGGCTATTTCCTATGTTAACCGCATTTCCCGTTAAAGGACTTTTGTATATTATGCTTTCGTTATTTAGCAGTGTATTTGAAGTGTATGAGCATTCAGCTGCACCGCAACGGTCCCACCTTGACACTTTTAAATATTGTTCTCATAGCACAGGTTTGGTGATGCTTTTTGTGCTACGCATAGCCGAGAAAATCAGGCTAGGAAGTAAAAAGGGATTAAAGTAGCAAAACAGGCTCATGCAGTAAAAGTGAACAAAATTGGCGGAACTCTTATTGTCAGAATGCAAATTCAAAGAGTATATGCTGAAGAATAGGTAAGTTTGGCAATAGAGCGACCAAAACAGCTTCTACCAACTTCGTGCATATCATTTATTAAAATTATTTGGACTAATACACTAGGGAGTGGTGGATGTTTTATCGATGAGCACCCTTGGAGACAGATTATTGCTCGCATGAAATGGATCTCACCCATTCCTCCCTGATCACCACAATCGCGATATTTTCCTCATGCAAGTCAAACGGAAACATGAAAGTTACGTGAGTGAAGATGTTTGACAGTGGCCTCTCAATAATCTCTCGAAGACGAGGACAGAAGCGCAAGTCTCCCTTGCATCTGCCCTAAGCGACCACAGATGCTGCACACTGATTGCTTTAAAGGAGCTGCAATGTTTGCGCTCTCCCACCTCAATACTACGAGGGTCGTGTAACAAACGATGCGGGACTGGTTCACGAAACAATGTCAACTGTTCGTGTGCTTGGATTTAACCTCGAGAGCAGAGAACAAACACCAGGATGGGATTGCACATTTCCTACAATTGCCTCAATTTATCTATTAAGCTTTAGGACAGTCCATTTGCGTACTAATACATTCTTATGTATTCAAAGTAAAAACTGTGCTAGCTACTAGCAAATACATGAAAGCAAATGAAAGCACAGTTCTTGTGCAAAACGAGAACTGACAACAAATACATAGATGTTTACTTACGGCGAGGCTGCATTAATTTCAGCCAGGAGTATGGTAATGGCATAGGTGGACCTCCAACGCTCC